TGCTAAATTAGGGACGGGTAGCGCAGATAGCCCTCATGTAGCTTTGCGCGAAATTCAAAACAAACAAACGAGACTGGACTTACAATAATGCATACGATTCTTCAAAATAAAACATTTTTTGTTTTGTAAGGATTTAAAAAACATTTTTTTTAGTTTTTATATAATATTCTATAATGTGATTTTAACCAACTTGCTTAGAAATTCTAATAGTAATTAACACCACAAACATTGGCACAGGAACAGTTTACCTATTTAAATGGAAAAAAAAATGTTTAACTGAAGTCTCACCACAGTGTTTATAACAGATTGCTATAAAATGTCATGTGCAAACAAACTGAAACGTAAATCTGACTGTTTGATACCACAGGGTTTTTTAAACTTTAATACAAGAAGCAAACGTTTTTCTGAAGTTGCTGATGCCATATTTCTTACATTAAATTAATGTAAATATCATGAAATAGCACTGGAAAACTACCAAAAGATGCAGAATTTATATTTAAAAATATCTTTTTGCACAAAATTATGTTGAATTAACTTTAAGTTTGCTTGATATTCTGTCAAGATATTGATACACTGGACATTCGTATTTAGTGGATCACAGGACTGCCTACTGTTCAAGTGATGTTCTTAACTAGACTAACTAAATGCAAGATTGATAGGGTTACCATATTTCCAAACTGAAAAACTGGGACAGCCCAGACCTTGCCCCTAATTACAAAATAGTTATTACACGTCTAAAATAACTTAACTTTTATTTAATTTACTTTAAATTTATTGAACTGTTCCACAACATTTCCAAATATATTAACATTGACATTGTTTGTGAAATGATTTCAACTATTTTTTTGGTAATAAACACAAAACAAATGAGCAAAAATAATCTAATTATGCATTCAAGAAGTATTTAATTATTCACTTTATCCAATTCATCTTAAAATGCCTTCCAGTGGCACAGCCGTATATCTGCTGACTTACAACACTATTAACCGGATTTAGATACCTGTGGTGGGTAGAGCACAGATAGCCCTTTATGTAGCTTTGCGCTTAACTACAAACAAACATCTTAGAATAGGCTACTCCATACCTGAATTTATTTAAGAACCCATAACATTTTCAAACATATTACTTTTAAGTTTTAGCATTACTTTGAAACCCTTTAAATACTTTTTTGTGAAGAATGGATGAAATGTAGAAGTTCTGTTTTTTTTTTTTCATTAAATAGTTATAAAATTCAATCCATGACTGTGTAAAGTGTGTTTTGATGATGAGCACTGCCTTATCTGTCTCTATGTTGAGACCAGGGTTTTTCTCACTACGCACAGGTTGATTTACGGAACTTTCGAAAGCGTTTGGGGGGTCGGGAAAGTACATGTTACATCTGATTGTTCTAATACTTTGATAAAAACTTATATAAAAATGACTCATTAACCGCGATAGATCGCTATATCATACATGATGGTGAGAACCCTAAGTATCTCTCCCCACTCAATGTTTACTATAAGAAAAAAATCTACCTGTACTAGACCATAACATATAGCTTAGAATTAAGTATCACTTGTGTAGTATTTAAAAGGGTTTTTATATGTGAAATATGCAATTGATAATTATTTCAAGTGAAAAAAGTGACTTTTTGCAATGGAACTGTTTGCGAGTATATACAACTAAATAAAGAGAAATAGTAAAATAGCACTAAATGATGTAGTCAGTCCATTCATGGACATGTCCCTGAGGGGGGAAGTAAAATCAGTGTTTCTTAAAGCTCTGATTTTTTGAATAACTTCATATCATTTCTACAGTCTATTAACAATAGTCAAGAAGAGAATAAGATGTTTGGATTGATCAAAACACAGACAGACGTGTGTGTTACAACAAAAACATGCTCGCCCTTTCAGCCGTGAGGGCGTTATAATGTGACGGTCAATCCCACTATTTGTTGGTAAAAGAGTAGCCCAAGAGTTGGCGGTGGATGGTAATGACTAGCTGCCTTCCCTATAGTCTTACACTGCTAAATTAGGGACAGCTAACGCAGATAGCCCTCGTGTAGCTTTGCGCGAAATTCATAACATAACAAACAACAATGAGCAAGTCAAGTAAGCCTATTACATGCGTTATTCGATGTGACTGACAGTGTGGTGTCTTTATAATAAAACTGGGATGTTTTGTGCACCCCAAGTCATTTTCTCTAAACACTAGGACAAGCTACTAATAAATGGGACTGTCACAGCAAAACCAGGACGTCTGAACATGCTAAGCACTCTTTAGTTCGCAAGAAACCTCGCATGAACCCAGATTTACAAGCATTACCTATGTGACTGGTCATTCGCATTGTAACATAGGTAGTACTATAACCTCTAAATATCACCTGAACAACTGTTGAGAAACACTGCTTATTAAATCCTTACATAATTACTGTGTCATATTAAGCGATGCTACTCATGTGGCAACTTACCTGTTTTTAAGAACAAAGGAACTTGAAGCAAGATCAACTTAACCGTTTTTGTGACAACAAGTTGCATGAAATCAGCACTTATTCAGAACAAAGAATGAATTTAGAAATAAATGCTATGATACTACAAGACGATAGAAACACGTGGTATTTTCATATACCAGAAATAATGTTTAGAAACATGTGGTGTAAAACAAACAGTGCAATTCAACTCTTCATCTAATACCATCAGTAGGTGCACAGTGCTCCTGTACTTTGACTGAGCTAGGAAGTCTTACTGCACTTCCATCACCTCTATTTCCCATATCTATTACAAGGCAAGAATTTAATAAGCAATGCCATAAATTCTTAGACAGTTAAACATTTATTCTGTATAGTAAGAACATTTGTTAAAGTACATAAATCTTGTTTTTGTGCTTAGTCCTCTAGTTATATAAAACTAAGTCATAAGTACTAGATTTTTTGTGCTTCGTGTTCCCCTTATTAAAGAGCAGGTATTAAGGCAAAGATAGATGCTTTGTAGGCTTGTATTAAGTCGTCAAGAAATTAATGTTG